GTTGAATGATACTTCAATTATGAAACAATCTGGAATACAGGGTGCTGTTTGACACATTATTATTGTGTTTCTTGTCTTTGCACCTTGTACTGAGATGGAATTGTATGACTGGGCTTCTCATCAATTCTGTTTGGTGTAGAAATCTTGGCAGCTCCAATAAATACACTTGCATAAATGTAAGTGAATACACACAGGCTCTCTTAGTATGAATTCTCACACCTTGGTCTGTTATATAGCAGGTATGAGCTGTGCGGTGTTCAACACAGATGGTGGGCATCACCCAGCTATGCCATGCATTTGTGTGTGTGTGTGTGTGTGTGTGTGTGCAGAAACATGCACACGTGTATAGACATGGCAGGCTCTCCATTGTTGTCCTTGTCTGAAGAGCTCTACCCTGGCATGGCTTCTGCTCATAAGGAGTCTATGTTCTCCTAAAGCACAAATATTAATGATCTCCTTGCTGAAGGACCTTTTTATTATAAAATCTATTTGTATTTATAGTGATCCTCAGAACAATGAGGAGAGGAACTCTTTGTTCCTTTCCATGTCTTGGAATCTGACTGTGCCTTAGGCAGAACCGCACACATGCAAGGGATTGGCATCCTCACTTGCCATAGAATTTTGAAGAGACTTTGGAAGTCCTCTACCACTTTGGAATTGGTGTTCAAGGTTCCCAGAAAAACAAAGAAATAAACAAACAAAGCAGTGATTCTTCTTCTCAAATAAAATCTTAATGCAGAAACCAGCATTATAAAGCCAATAAAAGTCTTCCAGATTAGTCAGAGATGGCTACTTCTTTTTCTTGTTTAGTCTCTGTCCTCACCCCATCATATCGGTTCCCTGGACTCTTTTGAACTGTGTTAGGATCCTTGGACAACTTAGCATGTGGGTACAAATGGTGCTGCTCTGGTTCAAGTTGGCGGGGGGAGGTCAGTGAGCAAAGCCCCCCCCTAACCTGTAACTGCTCCCAGAGCAGCACTGTGGAAGTTCAGGGCTCTCTGCAGCACTGCATTTTTTTTTTAATGCTTAGCTAGTTCTTTTACAGATGAGGAGACAGACAGAGAAGTAAAGTGATTTGCCCAAAGACATACAGCTAGTGGTACCAGAATCAAGATTATTACCATCAAAAGATAATTGAGTCTCTGTCCTATAGAATGAAAGGTAGGATACATGTACATGAAAAGATAAAGGGAAAACTAAAATTAACACTGTACTCATCAGTGTCTATTAGTTCCATAGTGTTTAGAAGACATCGTGGTTCCTGGAATCTAAGGCTCTCTCCATTGAATTTTTCTAAATATTTGAGACATGGGTGTTGCCATGGGCACCAGCTGCCTGCAGTAGTGCTGAGAAATGAGCAGGGAGAGAGGAAAGGAAGGAAGAAGATGAAAATGGAAAGGCAGCAGTAAGGGGAAAGAGCCCTGGATAGGAAGGAAGGCAGACAGGAGTGTCTGAAAGGCTGAAGTCATCACACCTGCCCCAGGCAGGTAGGGCTTCACCCTTGATTTGGGAAGGGGGTCCTCCAGGAGTCCTGGGACTCCATTCCGGCTTATTCCCATTCCAGCCTTGACGTCCTCTCATCGGCAGGTTTGCATGCCTCCTTGACCCTTTGCAGGGTCAACACAGAACAGTAGGAACAGAAACTTCCCAGGTTGGCTTCCAAAGTTCCTGAGTTCCCAAAATCACAGATCAAAAGGGGCAGTTCACAGGCTGAGTGTTGTGCATTCTCAGAGAGCTCTGTGGTCCCTCAGGATTCGGGGGAGCACGGAGCTCTGGCCTCAGAACTCAGGCAGGAGGAGGGCTATGAATAAATGTGTATTCACAGGACCAGAGGCACCAGGACATCAGCACAGCAAGAGAAAGTTCTTGGACAAACTTTTGCATTTCTCCACTCCATTCATTTTTGCCCTTAGGTGTTTCTGTGGCAACACAACGTAGGTTTTAAAAGGATCAACCAAGCTGTTTCACTTGTTTACATTTTTGTTTGTTTTTTTCTTGGGTTTGGGCGGGGCGGGTGGGATTAACTTCAAGGGCACTCAATCCCTGAAGTCAGAATGAATACAATAGAGCCATCAGCATGCACACGTGCTCAGAGGCAACAGGCACCTACCCCTTCTCAGGATTCTTTGTCCAGACCACTTCTTACTGGCCACCTGGACCCTTTCCAGTTCTATCTCAGATCCTTAAACAACTTAGTATGAGGACTGACCCAGTTGTGTCTCTGGGGATAAGTGGGGACCAGGGAGAAACCTTCCCCTGGCACCCAGGAAAGTGAGATGAGATGAATGGACCTTTTGACCAAGGGTCAGGGAATCTGCTTTCCCATCTTCTGCACATACCTCCCTGGCCTTGGTATCTTACCAGCATTCTGGATTTTCAAGTGAGGAGGTTAATTAAATACCCTCTAAGATTCTTTCTATCTCTCCAACTCAATGGGTTTAAGCAGGATAACTTCTGCCAAGGTGGTACGTTCCCATAATGTGAAAGTGCTTTCCAAGGGATGAGATTGCCCCTCACCGAGAGGGATTCCAGCCTCATCTCTCCTCTCTTTAGTTGGCACGCTCTCCCTGGGCAACCTCATTCAGCCCTCCCTGCAAGCTGAACTCCCCCTGACCTCCTATGTCTGATCACCAGTAACCCCACAAATGTCCCACAAATGCTTTAACTCAGCAAGTCCAGAACTGATGGCTCTCCCCTCAAGTCCCCCACTGCAGTGAGAGGCATCGCCATCCAGAGTCGCCCAAGTTAGAAAACTCGGGGGCGGGGGGAGCACTTCTGCTGTGTCTTCCCCCAACCCCTACATGCAGCCAGAAACCAAATTACCTTCTTTCTATCTCTAAAACCCACCTAGTTCTCGCCAATCCTGGTGTCTATCTTGGCTCAAGCCTTCATGGTCTCTGCATGGGTCACCCCCAACTCCCTCCACCCCCATCGCCACCCTCACTCTCTAGACCGGTGCCAGATTATAGCGCACGTCTGACTCCAACATTCACTAACTCCTCAGGATAGAATCCGAGCACCCAGGGGCAGCTCGAAAGCCCCTGGTCATTTTGCGCCTACCCACCTCTCCAGCCCCATAACCTTCACTCCAGCTGATCAGATGCCTGCATTACCTGAAGCTCTCCACACACACACAACTTCCACAAGCTCCCTCAGGTTGCACATGATTTCCCTTTCAACTCCATCCTGATGGGGTTTAACCCATCATCAACCGAATCAACCCACTTTAACCCAACATCACCTAATTTTAAAAGACCAGAGGCTCCCACATACTGTTATATTTGTTCCTGGGTCATGCTCCCCCACCCCACCTCTGTAATAGTGAGTAAAAGACAATCCTGCCTCTGAGGTGTGGATTAATGCTGGCTTCTCCATTCCCTTCCCACAGCTACTGCCTGATCAGGGCCTTCACCGGCACATGGGCTAGTGGTTCTTAAACTTCAGGGTGCCTCAGAAACACCTGGAATCGTCTGCAATGCACATTTCCAGGCTCCAGAGCCAGGAGATCCGCCTCACTAGGTCTGGGTAGGGCCCAGAATTCTGCATTTTTAAACTTTGCCTCCTCAGACTGCTTCACCCTGAGCTGGGCACAGTGAGGCCAGCACTCATGCCAAGTCTAGCAAATCCGAAAGAATGGATGGGAGCACAGGTATATGAGTGGGCTAGCCTCCCCCCACAGAGCTACCCATCAGACTCCAATGTCCCTGGTCTTGGAGCATCTTCCCAGCAGGCGAGACAAGAGCGGGTATGCCTTCCCAGGTGATGCCTTCCCAGGTGAGCTCCATCTGACCCAAGAGCGGGTATGCCTTCCCAGGTGATGCCTTCCCAGGTGAGCTCCATCTGACCCAACACAGGATGGGAAGATAGGTCCGGGAGTTCTGAGCCTACTGCTTCCTGGGGGCTGTGACTGGACCTGTCCTGCTTGAAGGATCTGTGGCCGAATGCCATGTGGACCAGTGTTTTGTGGCTCCAGTGAGAGATGGGCTGAGGCTCCTGCGGAGGCGAGCAGTGGAGCATGAAGGCATCCAGGCAGCCTTCGCCTGGTGGGGGCCATTAAGGCTCTGCACTGGGAACAAGGTTGTGGGAGAAAGCAATTAGTGGTGAGGGAAGCCAGTGAATCAGCACACAGAGTCGGCTCGCTCTAATTGAGCCTACAAGTTTGGCCTGTTAAGTGTGGGCTCCCAGGGACAGGAGCGTCATCCTTAAATGCAAAGCCTTCTTCAAGGTGGCAGAGGGAGGAAAAACACTACCTCCCACCTTTTGAGAAAAGAGATGAGCCTTTTTTCTTCACTGCCCCACCCCAGTGACTGCCTCCATCCTGGAAATGCTGATTCTCAGCTGATGGGGTCTGTCTTTGGACGAAGATTTTTATTTTCTCGAGAAAGAGAGAGACTTCTAGTTCAGGGTCAGGGTATATGAGCAGATTGCCTATGTTTCAGCTGTTGTTAGGAGCTTTTCAATGTCTCAACTTCTTTGCGGCTATGTTCCTCATCTATCAGTTTGGAGAACGTGGTTAGTACACTCCCCCAAGATGGTTTCTTTATCTTCAGGGTTTGTTACCTCAAGGTGGCGGTACACTTTTCCTGTGGTTCTGTCCCCTCCTTTCTGAGCACTGTTCTCCTCTGTCTTGGCATCATTTCCCTCTAGATCAAGACATTATGAGTTCTCTTCTGAGAAGGTACAATGAAACATTCACTGATTAACTAAATAAGTTGTTTTTCCAAAATGTGTAATTTTTCTACCACCCTAATATTTGCATTTTAATGGGACATTTGAAGACTAAAAAAACCCTTAATGCCCAATGAATTGGAGGTCTAAGGTTGTAACAGACTGGGGAGTTGGTAATCTGGCTAGGAGGTCCTACCCAGGTCCTCCTAGATCCTACCACAGAGTGGGCAGAACTCTCCTCCACCTGCTTGTGAGGTCTGCTGGTTCAGAACTTTCCAGATCCCTGATCTCATTGACTTTATTTTTCTCTCCCTTCTATTTTTGTTTCCTAGGAACGAGTGGAATATCTCTTTCTCATAATTTTTACTGTGGAAGCATTTTTAAAAGTAATAGCCTATGGACTTCTCTTTCACCCCAACGCTTACCTCCGCAATGGTTGGAATTTACTAGATTTTATAATTGTGGTTGTAGGGTAAGTATCACTACCTTTCTCTCTTCCCTCCCCTCACCCCTTACTATCCACCAACATGTGCCTCTGTTTCCTTCTGTTATTTGTATCTCTTTTTGATTTGGTCACAGAGGCACTGGGCACCAGGCAAGATGAGAGGATCCATTAAAAGTCACTTTGAATTCAGACTTTCTCCAAAGGGAAAAGAGCTCTTACTTAAGAACGTCTCCCTCACACACATGCTCACATGCGTGCATTCACAAACACACACACACACACACACACACACACACAACACAGAGTGGAACCTGAGGGCTTTTAATGGAACTCAGCATCCTCTATGCAGCTGAGGAGATTCCTCTGCTTGAGGTCTTTTATTCCATCTCCAACCACATCTGGCCTGACAGCCCTCCGAACCGGTTCCCCTGCTGTGTTCCTGAGCAGAGTTCGTCCAGTTGGCCTGGCGAGCAGCCTACGGGCATGGGGGTGGGGACGAAGCTGGCACATAGGTGCTATGGATGCCCACTCTCACCTCTACAGTGGGCCTTATCGGGGGCCCCAGGAAACAGGCTGCTTGAGATAAGTGGGTGAGGAGACAACAGAGAACTTTGAAGGGCCAAAGTCGTGGGTGACCTAAGTAGAACCAAATACACCTTCCCCAAACACGCCGTTCTGCTGTAGCATGAGATAAATCAAGGTCAATATATGCTTTAAAAAAAAAAAAAAAAGCAATGTAAAGAATCGTAAATAAAATTCAGAAGTGATGGTCTCCTTATCTGGGAGTTAGCAACTTTACAAAAAGATCCTGTACATGTGCTATGTGAAATGTAGTTCATTAAGACACAGTTGATGAAGTTTTAACTGCTCCTCTCTTTTGTGAAGGGAGGGCACCCTACAGCAGGTTCTACTTGGGCTTCTTGGAGCTGATCTGTCGTTTCTCTGAGCCTGGAGAGTGGTCACATGGTGGCCACCTTGCATTTTTACTCCCGTGGAGTTCTGATAGCCTTCAGTGTCAAGGTCAATATGTCACTGGGCCCATATCCCAGGAACCTATTTTTGATTGGCACCATTTGTGCCATCCCAGTGAAGACACGGGTCCTTGTGGCCTCCTTCAGAGCACTCACTGCTCATCATCTCACGGGAGTGTCTGGTCTTTCCTGCAGGAAATAACAAGAGCAAATCAAGACCATTGAGAAGTTATTTCCTTGCCTCTGGCCATCTGGATGACTTATTAGGGTTGTTTGGAACTGTTTTAGGGGTTTTTCTTTGTTGTCTTTTTTTGCACAGCCAATGAAAGACACACTTTGGCCACATTAACACCAAGGATATTTGGGTGACATGAGAAGCACTAAAGTTATTGGAGTATTTGCGAGGCATAGATCTGGCTCCAGAGGACTCAAAGTGAGGATGCAGTTATAAGAGAACTTGCTGCTTCTGTTCACCCCAGGATAAACAAAGAATAACTGAACAAATGCCTTGAATTAACTCCAGTAAACCATAGCAAAGGCATTTAAGGTACCTCGTTCCACATGCCCCTAAATCCTTTCAAATTCAGTGTCTTTCTCACGGCCTCGGGCTCTGGGGAACCTTTCACATATGCCTAGAAAAGAGCCCCAGGAATGAGATTGATAGAGAGATAAGGGTGCCTTCAGGGACTAATTTTGTTTCCGCAGAGGAGCTACATCTTCTTCTCAGGTTTAAGGAATGAGTTAGAGTTGACTGCGTACCATGCTCTGCCCCCTCCATGGCCTCACCGGCAGCCTGGGAGGTCGAAACCAGGAGCACAGGGCAGAGCTTAAACCGGAGCTCGGGAGGGAGGGAGCAGATGCCTTGCCATGCGGCCTGCATCTTCTGCTTGCTTGGACTTTGCTTTATCCCTCGCCCTGCTGCTCCTCCCGGTAACCGCAGAGGGCAGGCTTCGTGGGGTCAGCCCAAATTTCAGTCACATCTTCCTGGGGTCTAGGCCGTGAAGCTGATGAAGAGGAAAGCATCCAGACTGGCCCTCTTCCAAAAAATGCCTCTGGTTTGGCTGTTTAAGCCACAGAGGTTTTGATGCTAGTGGTTGCTTAGCTTGTGGCTCATATGACCCGTTGGGCTTTTCCCCCATTACTAGCACACACGGACATATTTGACACCCAGTTTCTCTTCTCCAAGGGCATTGGTCCTAGCGGCTCTCTGTCTAGTCTCAATCTTGGCCCATCCTTCTAACTTGAAAAATCACATGCACATGCACACGCACACGCACGCACACACACACACGCACACACACACGCGTGCACACACCCGCACACACGGTGTAGCAACCTGCTCTCTACCACTATGCCTCCTTTTCCTGCCCCCCCCTTTTTTTTTTATCATATTAAATGGATATCTGTCTACTTCCCTTATGCCTCCTGGGAAATATCTATTCTCCCGGGCCCCTCCTCTACAGTCACTTAGGGGAAGGTTTCTTGGGCTCTCCTACAGTCAGAGGGGAATCTGCCTTGCCCTAGGAGAGCCGGGTTTGCCCGCCTGCTGCCTGAGTGCCGGGCCAAGAGCTGCTCTCTCATGTCTGTATTGCCACGCAAGGTCCTGTGACAAGAGGCATTGCCTAACGCCCACAGACCTGTCACATTTCCTTCCTAGAGTGGAAGGGTCTCCTTGGTACAGTGGGGAGATGAGACTGCTGAATGAAAGTGGGGAGGACTTCAGAGGCCTCCGGGAGCTACCTCTCCCCACCTCAAGCCGGGGACCTAGGGATCCTCACTAGATCCCCCTGCCTGAGACATTCTACTCCAGCTGCAAGGGCTTTTGCTACCATCTCTCTCCCAGTATGGTGGCCCTGCCTTTCTGAACTGCTGGGCCCTCTAGAGCTTCGTTGTCCTCTTTTAAAAGCTCCAAGTCCAGCTAAGGAACTGCCAGACACAACTCCTGAAGAATCCCCCTGCCAAGCATCCATATCTGAACCCAGCCCTTAGGGACAGAGAGGCACAAAGCAGTGGTTTCAGCTTTACAGTATCTAATCAAGGAGAAACACACCAGCCCCTACAAGCCAAGAACACCTCCTAGACCCATTCCTGAATTTTTTACCTTTTCAAAATTAAAATCAGACACTTAATAAAGTGCATCAAGTTGGGGCAGAGAAAAGAGAAGAAAGTTGTCTAACCTCTGTTCCCTTCAATAAATAATATTATGTGAACATCTTGTACCCTAATAAGCATACTGCTTTCTTCCAGGAAATACTAGGAACCAAATCTGGTTTGGATTTGGAATGTTGTTTGACAAACTTGCAAACTGGTCTCCATTTTCTAAGATTTCAGCAATCTAGACTTCAGTGGAAAGAACATTTCTCTGCAGAGAAAGAAGCCTGTTTCCCCCATCCTGGCAGCTCTGCCTGGGGTTCAAGGCATCACCAACTAACATAGGACACCATCAAACTGCCAAGCTGAGCTGAAAGAATCACAGGGCTGGGAAAGACTTTAGATGTAGTCTGGCCAGAGTTGTCAAACTTCTTTTAGCTAAAAAACCCATGGTTCAAGCAAAGCCTTACTCAGAGAGTCACGAAAGCCACTCTATTCCCGCCACTTACCTCTGGCCTCGCTGCCCAAGAAGTCCCTAAGCAGTTCCATGGAGCACAGTTTGGAAATCCTTCATCTAGAACAACCCCGTCCTTGCTGGGCCCTGCCTGGGTTTGCGTTTCTGCAAAGCTAAGCCCCCAGCTGCAGCCTCCCGTGTTTCCAGATCCAGTTCCCGGGGCATGAGTCATTTCAGGAGCTCAAGCCTATTCCTCAAGAATGAAGTTGCCCTGGCCTCGAGTGCAGGTCAGATGTGTGGCCCCAGTTCTGATATCTGGGCTTCCCCCTTGACCCCTGGCCACAGCCCAGCACACACTCTGCTGACAGTGAATTGGCAGTCATCTCTAGTAGAAAGGGCAGAAATTGCCCCCATGCGTCCTTTCCCCTATTTTTCTTGGTTACCACAAAAGCCCAAAATTCCGGGCTCCCATTCCCACGTGGTTCTTTGAATCCTGTCCCCCCTCTCCCTTGCCATCCCCCTGAAACCTTCCCACTGTGCCTTGTGTTCCCCACAAGCCACTGCCCATTCAGGGGTCGGCAGACATTTTCTGTAAAGGGCCAGATATGCATTTTCAGCTCACAAGCTGTGCACTTTGTCCCGACTAGTCACTTCTTCCGAGAAAACAGCAATGGACAGCAGCAGTATGTGAATGAGGGGTATAGCTGAGCTCCAGCAAAACTCCATGTACAGAGCGAGTGGCCCAAGGGCTGCCCTAAACCCTCAGCTTTGTCCCTGGCCGCTTGCTTAACCTCCTGGCTCCCCCAAGGGTCCTGCTCCATCACAGTCTCTCAGGAGATGGCCACTCTCTCCCAAATGCCTTGTTCTGCAGCCAGGAGGCCAGGAGAGGGGCCCTGCATTTCTCTTATTTCTGCTTTCAGACTGCTGGCCCTCCCCCCTTCCTAGCCACCTCTGGTTCTGATGTGTGTGATCAAACCCTTCCACCGCGACTTCTCCCTATGGAGTCCCCTTCTAGGCCTCTGGGGACTCCTCATTCCTTGAAGACAGGAGCTCTTGGCTCACTCCCAACTCTCTCCAACCTCACTATTCCTGTTGTCACCTCCAGTAGCTTCTTGGTTCCTTGATATCTAAATCCTCCCAACCCCCCGCCCAGGGATCCTGACTCCATCTGTCTTAGATGCCCACTCCCATGGTGATCGCCAGTATTCCTGCCGTAACTAATAACTGCACCCTCCCCCATAATCTCAAACCAAACACCCTGCTCTGGAAACACTACCAGCCACCTTTCCAGCTTACTCCCCTAGCACTTTGACTCTGACAATCCATTCATCCTGTCCCATTCTCTCTGTTCCTCTGCCCATTGTGTCCAGTGCTCCTTTTAACCAGCTTAGATGCCCAGCCCCATCACAGTCTCTCACTTGCGTGTACAGTCAACTTCCTTCTTCCTCTCTTCACTTACCTTGCTCATTTGGAAAAACACCAACCCTAATCAAATCCGACTAGATGGAAATCCATCTGGTACCTGAAGCTGTGCCACTGAAAGGGGTAGAGAAACCTGCAAACCTGAGCTGTTGGGTTTCACTTGACACTTGTGACCACCAACTTCAAATTAGGTCCTTGATGATACCTGGCAACCCTATTCTATGTGCTACTCCATTCACTCCTCCACTTTCTTTGGTGAGTCTTTTATACCTTAGCCTCCCCCTTTAAACTTCCAATACCTGCTCCCCATTTACATTTTCAGCCGATGACCTTGCTACCTGTTTCCCTGAGAAAACACATGTAACCAAGGAGAACATCTGTACCCCTATGATGTACCTTCCCACTTGAACCATGATAAACCACCCTTCCCCTATCTAGGGCCAGTACCCCTCAGGGTGCACGATATTCCTGCTGCCTCCTGCAGGATAGCAATCCTTCCAGTAATTGTTCTCTCTCTTCTGCATGGTCAGATTGTCTGTCTCTGTTGCATGACTCCCATCACATATAAAAATGCCGCTGGCTCTCCCATTTAAAAGCAAACACGACTCTCTTGACTCCACACCCTCTTCTGGCAACCATCTTTTTTCTTCTACTACCTTTTACAGCAAAACTCCTCGGAAGTGTTGTCTATACTGTAGCCACCAGCCACCAGCCATGCGGCCACTCAGTACAGAATATGTGGCTAATCAGAGGTGAAACACGCTGTCCATGTAACGTATAGAGCAGATTTCGAAGATTTAGCACAAAAGGAGTAACAAATATCTCATGAAAAATTCTTTGTATTTATTACAGTTGAAATGATAATATTCTGGTTATGTTGTAGTAAATAAAATACATTATCACAGTTAATTTCACCCCTTTTTACTTTTTTAACGTGGCTGCTAGAAAGTTTAAATTACATATATGCCTCATATTTGTGGTTTGCATCATATTTCTTTTAGAGCTATCTCAGACTTTTCTTCCTATCCTCTCTTGAGCCTGTATCCATTAGGCATTTGTCCCCATCACTTCTCCAAAACAGATGTTTTCAACGTCTCAGGAGTCTGCATATTGCTAAAGCCAGTGGTTAGTTTCCCATCCTTGTATCTGCAGCACAAAGGCAATGTCTACGGGATCTTCTATTTGTGCCCAGGCAAAATCAAAGGGGAATCATTAAGAGTAAGGAGGTGTGTGGGGACGAGAGAGGGTGTGGTTCCTGGCCACGTGAGGGCAGGAGCTAGGAAACCATGGAGTGGAGAGAGGGCACTGCAAAGGGACAGAGACACTCCAGCGAACTTTAGCAACTTTACACTTCTGTCCAGGCCGTCCAGCTTACACAAAACCAGTTGTGTTCGTGCACGGCTTTATGACTGCAAAGGGCCTGCCTGCCCATCACCTCTCAGACCTCTCTGGGCAGTCTTGATGCCCTTGGCTGGGCAGTACCCACAGTGAGGGGATGTCATCTTAGGATGGTCACGGTCCCTCCCACGCACACACCTTGCTCTGGTTCCTGGGCTGGGGATGCCTGCAAACTCTGCTCTCCCAAGCTTCCTTCAGAGAATTCAGGGTCTGACAGCTCCATCTCCCCTTCCTCTCTTCTAGGCTTTTTAGTGCAATTTTAGAACAAGCAACCAAAGCCGACGGGGCAAATGCTCTGGGAGGGAAAGGAGCTGGATTTGACGTGAAGGCACTGAGGGCATTCCGTGTGCTGCGTCCCTTGCGCCTGGTGTCTGGAGTCCCAAGTAAGTAAAGCCATTCTTCTGGTTCACAGTGGTATCTTGTCACCCACCCCCTGCTGTCCTGTGCTGAGTTGCCAGGAGCACTTTGCCAGGAAATTGATTCCATATAAACGGAGGTGTTTTTTCTTAAAAGAAATCCTTTGCTTTAAAGAACCTAACTCTGATGTGAGTCCATGAGAACACACTGTGGCCCCAGCTCCTGTAAACCCCTGGAAAGAATCCACAGCAGCCAAACAGCCAAATGAAGACAGGCTACCCCAAGAAAGAAATCCCTTGGCCATCTGAACCCCACCCCCACTCCCTCCCCCCACCCCCAGGCCCCGGGCTGGGGATTTAAATACATTTGCAGCAGAGGAGCCTGGTGAGCAGAGAAGGCTAATCCCCGAGGCTCAGGCTCAAGGTATTTTAGCCAATGAGATTATCTCTACTTTCTGTATTTTTCCAAAGAACAATCAGAAAAGCATCAGTGGATGTTCAAAAAGTTCTATTTGCCATTTCTCTCAACCCTCTCCTTCTTTCATGTCAAATGGGACATTTCCGGCTTCAGAAGTCCTATTTATGGACAGGCTGCCTGCCTTTGTGAGAATTGGTTTTGCCCAAGGGTGGAGGGTGTTCAGCTCTCTGAATCAGGCCAGAGGGCATTGGAGAGATATTGTCTATCCAGGTATCAGTCCGGTGGACAGCCTCTCTTCTATCTCTTCCTCCAGAAGCCTGCCCCACTATGGATGAACCCCAGGCACTGAAAACAGCAGCTTCGGGCATCCAGCGTCACCCCCAACAAAGCACAACCCCAGTTGCTCTTGGGGATTAAGTCAACTTTCAGAGAGCTCTTCATTCCACTGCTCCTTGATCAATTGGTGCGATCTGAGCATAATTCTAGACTTGCGTGCTGAGATTTTTCCCTCTCAAGTCAGCTCCATCAGATCTGGCCCATAACTCAAGGTAGAGAAGGTCCCTATGACTGGGCTGAAACCAGACAAGCTTGGAGATGGGAGCAGGGGACAGGAAAACAAAGAGGTCCTCTGAACACGGAGCCTTTACCATAGAAACGTGAAGAACCTTGTATTAACCTGTTCTATTCTTTCCATACGTGCACAGAATAGTGAAAATATTTTCCCAGAGAAACCTAACTAACCAGCAGCAGCGCAGGACTAGGGACTTCCTAACCAACTTTCTCTCCTATCATACAATACAACTTCTTGTAAAGGATTAACTAGTATAAAACTCTTGACTGTCTTAGACTTTTACAAATATATCCCATCTCTTCAATTACATTATAAGCCCCCAGAAGCCCAGAACTGTGCCTTATATTGTCTCCGTTCCTGCACCATGCCTACAATGGTCTCTGTACAAGTTAGGGGAATTTACTAGATAAATGAAGGCAAGAGTTGGAATGCCTTCTTTGCAGTGGGGCCCCCTGGGCAAAGTTTGTGGTCTGTCTTAAACTCAAAAGTGAACATGGAGCTAAGCCACACAAACACATTTGGAACAGATTCTTTCTACTTGGCCTTAACCATTTAGGGCATCTAGGACTGGAAACAGTATACAGTCGACTCTTAAACAATGTGGGGATTAGGTGTGCTGACCCCCACCTTGCGCAGTTGAAAATTAATGTATAACTTTTGACTCCTCCAAAACTTCACTACTAATAACCTACTGTTGACCAGAAGTCTTACCAAAAACATAAACAGTTAACACATATTTTATAGGTGTTATACTATATTCTTAAAATGAAGTAAGCTAGAGAAAAGAAAATGTTATTAAGAAAATCATACAGGGGGGTGCCTGGGTGGCTCATTTGGTGAAGCGTCTGTCTTCAGCTCAGGTCATGATCCCAGGGTCCTGGGATCGAGCCCTGCATTGGGCTCCTTGTTCAGCGGGGAGCCTGCTTCTCCCTCTCCCTCTGCCCCTCCCCATCTCATGCTCTCTCTCTCTCAAATAAATAAATAAAATCTTTAAAAAAAAAAAAAAGAAAGAGGGCGCCTGGATGGCTCAGTTGGTTAAGCGACTGCCTT